TGTGGGAGATGCAGCAGGAGCAGCAGAAAAAGGGATCAGTGCAGGGGTACAGCAAATGCAGAAAAGCACAGGGTTTTTTGGGGGAGGAGTTAGGAAAAAAATATTGGCAGCTCCTCTACTTGCTGCTATTCTCCCTCCTGCTCTCAGTGAGCTTAGCACCCCCAATTCTCCTCCACAGGAAAACAGTTCCTATAAGCAAGGACAGCCTCTCCCCTGTGTCCACTTCCCAGAAGTAATCACCCTTGAAACCAATTTGATTTACTTCTCAATAGACATGAATATGGGTAAGTTTTCAACTAATTTTTCCTTACTGGAGAAGGAATTCCCCAGTTCACTGAGCAAATCAGAGCAAGAGAAGCCTTATGGACAGTGGCAGCCAAGGAGATTAGAAAGTGACCGCAAGCTGATCAGGCTTATCTCCTTCGCAGAGCTGCTACTCTTGTGTCAAAGCCAATATGACACTTCCTCTTGCAGCACCTCAGTCCACCAGCTGGCTGAAACCACGGTTCCTTCCTTAAGAGCAGTATCACAAATTTAGCACACACTACATATGTACTTTGGTGGAGAAAAAAAGACACAACAGATATATACATTTAAAAGTGATATGACTGATCTGAAAAGATAAGGAAATGAAAAGCAGGAGTGTGTGTGTGTGTGTGTGTGTGTGTGTGTACATTCTTCCCTATTTCTGAATGGGTTAATAAGATGCAAAAGAGGGTGCTGCTGCTGTACCTTTAATAGCAGTGTTTCAAAATACAGATATTTTCAGACTCATCCTAAATTCTACATACAGCTACAAAAATTACAGAAGCACCTCATTTCCCTGGTCCTGAATCCTGATAAGAAATATAAACCAATTAGATTATACTTACAATTTTTAGAAAAGTTGGGTTGCCTTCAAGGGGCATGAAATCTTTCTTTTTCTGCTGGTGATAATCTCATTACTGACCTGATAGTAATAATGTGAACAGTTCAGTTACAGATGTATGTATTTGTATCCCATTAAATTTAAGCCATAGTGTTAAATGTGTCCACATTTCTAAAGCCTGACTGAATTCAGATGAACTTAGAATGTGCTTAATGTCAATTATTCCACACAGCTTTTAGGTCAAATGCATAGATTTATAGATATATCATATACAGTAATGATGCCCTCATTTCTCTGAGCACCGCTGGCACTTCTACATACAAGAAAACCCCAAGATTTGCAGAAGTACAGTGTGTCATAGCATTCAAAAGGTGGCCTGGGACTTGGGGAAACTTGGATTCAAGTCTCATCGGCCATGAAGCTTACTGGACCAGTCAATGACTCGCAGCCTGAACTATTGTGAAGATGGGAACACATGCATTGCCTCCATCTTGTCTGAAGAAAATGTGGGAGATAAACGTAGCAAACAAATAAAATAAAATAACGTCTGAGCATATAACAGCATCTCTGGCCCACTTAAATTTGCTTATATGTTTCTGAGGCCAATATAAGATGCTGCCTTTAACCCATAAAGCCCTGCGTGTCTTGGGATCACCATACCTGATGGAACTCCTCTCCCAACAACACTAATGGACACAACACTCAACCCTCTGATTGTTAATTCCAAGTAGGCTCAGTTAGTGGCAACAAAGAGAAGGACCCTCTCACTTACAGCCCTCCAATTACAGAATATGCTTCCCACTGTGGTCCACCTGGCACCAACTTTAATATTGCTTCAGTATTAGGTCAAGACTGATTCTATAGGCCATGGCACATAATTAGTTGTATATTGGGGCATTATAGAAACATAGGAACAGAGTGAGTCAGAAGGGGCCTCCTGGGCCATCTAGTCTGATCGCTGGCTCCAGCTGGCTCCGCTCACGACATGCCCACCATGTGCATGTCCAGCCTATCCTTGGACACCCTCACCGATGAGGCCTCAACGACCTCTCATGGAAGCCCATTCCATACCCTTGGGATCCTAACTGTCAGGAAGTTACATTATATTGGGTCAGCTGTTTAACAAGTCTTGTCATTTAATTTGTATATGCTGTTGCAGCTTTTTAAATGTGGCTTTTAAATTTTGCATTGTATTCTTATCGTGTTTTTATTGTTATTTTGTATAGTTTTTTAATCAGCTGTTGTAAACTATCTAGAGAGCTTTGGCTAGTGGGCAGCATAGAAATACAATCAGTCAATCAATCAAACAATCAAATAATAGTAGTGAAGTAGCTTGATGCTTAGTGGCAACAGAATACTTGTTGGGAACAATGAATGAATGAATGAATGAATACTAGAATGGGAAGAACGAGCAAGGGAAGGGGAGGGGAGGGGAGAAGAGGACCCTACAGCTACAATTCCCAACACCCCCCAGCCAGCCAGCCATGCATTGTATTCAGGAAGGCTAGAATGGGATATCCTAGACTATTCCATTCTGTCTGGTTGGCACCCTGAACAGGAGTATCCACCTCTAACCGTTTTCTGCTGGCCCCCCGGTGCTGCAGTGTCTGTGACAAGGCCAGCGGTTGTGCATGGCTTTCTGTGCAACTCGGGGCCAAAATACAATTGCTCAATTGATGCTGCCCTACAAGATTCTAGAAGTAAAAAGGAAAACAGAGCGAAACACAGTGCTGTTGCCTCTAATTTATTTATAACGGAATCCTTTCCTGACTGGTGGAACATTTCATCTGTTCCGTTTTTCCATTCTTAAAGACACCTGTTGACAGGGCCTGTAATGCATTCCAGCCACTGCCCTTGTTTAAGACACCGCACTTCACTTGTGCCAACAGAGGTCGCTAAACTACCATTGGGAAGCAGCTGCAATTGTGTGCATGTGTCCCCTTTAGGGTTGTGCATGAATGAACACTTCCTGCTACAAAGAGGCCCTGGAGGGGCCTCTCCATCACTTCTCCTGCTGCATCATTTGGCTTAAAGAAGGGGCTGAGTCTGGGGCAGAGAGGGTGAAGCAAAATGTGAGGCAAGGCTTTGGAGATCATTCGTTGCAGGAAAGATACCCTCATTTTCATTACACGATAAGAGTAAAGAGTGGAAAGGAAAGAGCGTGTGAGGATAACTTTCCCATTCACAATTGTGGAGCATTTGATTGTGTGTGTTTTTCCATACTTTGGACTGAAGTGGGTGTTCTATATGTTGAAGGTGCTAAAAGTGAACCATTCAGCTGTTAAACTAAGATTTTCAGAACAAGCCGGGGGGACAGGATGAGGGACAAGCCAAAAGACATTGAATGAGGATGGTAGGAAATATGTTTCTTATTTGAGATAAATGTTTATCTCGTTCCATTTAAGTGACATTTTAATGAAAGCTTTGCAGGGTTGACGTGAAGAGTGATTGGCCCTTTGCTAAATGTGCCCTTTTCCTCCCTCCCATTCTTGGATGGACTGAAGGACTGTTGCCCTTTTGGTCAATGTATAGGTAGGCCAGGATGGTGGTGTTTGCTGTGCAAGGGTTCAAGGGATGCAAAAATGGAATGCCAAGCTCTTATAGAACTATATCTTTGCAACTCTGTATTCCAACTTCTCCTAGCTGGTCCGTATGCACTGGTGCTACAGCCCCAGCCAGCATGGCGCATAACTTGGGATGATTGGAATTGCAGTCCAAAACATATGGAGGGTACCAGGTTGGGGAAAGCTGGCAAATTCAATGAGCAGCAGGTGATGGATGCCATGTGTGACCATATTCCCAACAGCTAGGATAGGATTGAGGTTGGGGAAAGACTGCTTTCTGAAGATGCACTGAAGTTTAGAATCCTAGAGAAATTCTGCCTTCATAGTCTTCACCTGGAGGAGTGTGTGTTTGTGTGTGTGTAGCTCTCTGTCATGTAATTTAACACTGACCTAGAAAAGGCTGATGCACATGTTGGCTTTCCGCTTAATAGAATAAGATGGGGGGAACAAGTTGCACAATGAAACTACTTGGAGGGAAAGTGTACTTATCTTGAAAAATCTACCATGTACCTATCCCTACGAACATCATTAACATGGTTTTGATAACTTCTAACTTTAACTGACAGATGGAAGGCATTTCTTCCATCCGCTATTTTTATCATAGTTCTTTCTTTCATGCATGCACACACATCTACCTAATTTTAAAGCCTGCCTTACTATTCTGATTTTAAATGTGAGGTGTTTTGTGCATTTATATATGACTAAGCATGTAAAATGTGAAGCGGTAGTGTCCAGGAACAATTCTATGTGTATGTTGGCCCTTCAGAGTAGCCCCAGACTGGCCCAAGAATTGGGCACATGGACTGGAAATGATTAAGATCTGTAACCAGAGGGCAGTAGATTGTGCAAGGCTACTCTACAGTACCCAAAGCAAGTCTCTTTGCAATATATATATATATATATATATATATATATATATATGCTAATAGATGTACCCTATTACTGTGTAAAAGGGGAGCTTGAAGACCTTGCTTTTGCTTTCTCTAAGTGGGTTCTTGACCACCAAGTTTTCTCCAATTTCTAGTGGAATTGGGGCATGCATGTAGAGCAGAGAAACTTAGTTGCTTAAAGTGACTTTCATACAAGGGTGTAAAAGCTGGCAAGTTGCTGCACTGGGGAAATATTGATATGTTGGTAAACGCAGTCCAAGAGATACATATGTACTTCTCTGGACAAGAGAACTATTGCAATAGCAAGGATCTAGGACAGCTTCATTCAATTGCTCGAAGTCATACGCTAGTGGAGCAGGCTTAGTAGTCATGTGAGGACAGGATGGAAGACGAAACTAAACTTTTTCCTGGTAAACCAATGTAGCCACAGAGCATTAGCACTAGAATTATACTGGTTAGTGGGGCCATTGTAGGCTGGGCTATGCCTATCAAATCCCTATCAGACCGTAGCTTATGACAAGCGCATATTTAAAAATTTAATTAGGACTGCGATCCTCCATCAGTTTTCCCACGTAAGCTGCATTCAGCTCCATGGGACTTACCTTTGGGTAGACATGTTCAGGTTTGTGCTGCACTATTTATCTGACTATAACGAAGTTCAAAGGAAGATATCACACGTTTATCTACAAAAAAGTTTAATTGAAATACCTGTATAAAAAAATATGATCTCCATACATTTCACACTGTTAAACAGAAGAGAAAAAAAATCCAAATCAAAGCTGCATAAATGCAACCAGATCACAGAACACACAGCTATTAAAATAAATTAAAGTTTATGACTCTGCCACTCTTCCTTCCAGAGCCAATGCACAAAGACTGTACAATGTCAATAATTTAAAACCCTTCCAAACAGCATTACTTTACAGTTCTGGTATGTAAATAATACCAGACAAAAAAGGCATACTGACTAACTTTTAAAGTCATTCTAGTTCCCTTAAATTAGACTTTGTACAACAATTTTCCATCTTCCAACCAAAAATAAAAAAGGTATGGTCAGACTTTAATTTTTTTTCTTTAAACCAAAAAAAAAAAAAAAGAGGAAAAAGAGGAATGCAAGAACAAGTTGTGGACTAACCATAAGAATTCCCATGACGGGGGATGGAGAGAGAGAAAGAGCACAGTGCTGAATAATTCTAAACAAATAAATTAGCTAAAATAAATAGCCACAGATGAGACTGTGAGAGGTCTTCTAAATTCCAGACAATAAATAAAACTGCATAATACATGGGGGGGGGGAGAAACCAAAATTTACATAAAACACATTATACAGGTATGGAAAAAAACACACACAAAGTCCTTGAATATTGCATTGATTGTGCATTTAACATGCCCATACATACTTTTAAGACTTGCAGGTTGGGGGAGTTGAGAAAGGGCCTTTTTTGTGCCCAGTGGTAGAGATGATGAAATGAAATATGAGTGAGTGTTCCTGATAAAACAGCTGATAACCTGTGCAGTCTATTGGAAATATATTGTGGAGCAGCAGAGGTTGTCTTGGGGGAGGAGGGCTGGAAAAGAGCTAGGAAGGAGTGAAATGTTTGTGTTCAAGTATTCCATCACCAGTGGATGGGACTACTTCATTCAATCACTGAACATGTTCTCCAATGCATCATAGGAGTTGCTTCCCTGCCAGCATTTGTAGTAGGTAAGGGGAGCAAAGTCCTATAATGTGCTGGATCTTCTTTGGACATACACAGCTCAAAAACGAAAGTCCCACTGAAGCAGCTTTCAAAAAGGCACTCAAAAAGCAAATAAAATCTAGTCCAGGCTCTATGAGAGCAAAAAGGTTTACCATGTTATTTAAAGAGGTCACTGCTTTTCTTAATAAAAAGGTCAGTCTTTTGACTAAGTACTGGCCTGCAAACTTCCAAACATCAGCGTTTCCAAAGGAAATCTCTCATTCCAAAGCAGAAACCAGCAAAAAGGGGGTGGGGAAATAAAAATCAATTCCCTCAGACAAAGATTCAAACTACAGAATAATGAATGCATTTTTTCTAGCCCCTCCTACATATTGGCAGCAGCAGCAGTCAGGTCTTTTTTTTCCTGCTTGTAGCTCCCCTCCCTTTGCAAGTTCCTCAGTATTTCACAGGCTCTCATTGCTTGAGCTTGTGCTAGACACATCCGTGTCAATGGTCCGTAGCCTTATATCACAGTCTTCTGACTTCACAACTTCTGACTTGTGCATCCATGGGTGGTCGAAAATTTGCTCAAGTGTTGGTCTATCTGAAGGCCTCAGTGAAAGGCACCATTTGATCAGTTGTTGGCATTCTGAAATACATGAAGAAGACCAATTAAAGAAATGGGAGGAGAGAGAAGATTCAAAACCCATTAAAAATGGGAAGTGTGGCTGAATGCAGTTGCTGTGTAGTTTGGGAAGCCAAGCTTACCAGGTGAAATTCTTCTTCGAAAGTATAACCGTCCTCTCAAGATCTCTTCGTCTTGCTCAAAAGGAATGTCTCCGCAGACCATGTCATACAGCAGGACACCCAGTGACCACACCGTTGCAGATCTTCCATGGTATCTGTGGTAGCGAATCCATTCTGGAGGACTGTATACACGTGTCCCTGTAATGGAAGGCCACGGAACCCCATTAAGTTAGCCGAGAAAAGTTCTTAATTAAGGCAGTGGTAGCATGTTTGTTTTTCAAAGCTCCAGGGGCAGCAGAGAGGAATCCGTATCTCTCACAAACACATATGTAAGAAAACTCTGGAGCTTGAATAATCCCCACATTTAAATCATGTTTTAATCTTGGACTTAAGGTTGTGCTGGTTTGTTGCAGTGGATTGCATCGCTTCCCATCAGCTGATTGTTTACTAACACAGAGCTCCCTTTCCCCTTAGCACGTGGTGTCTGCAGCACAGCACCAAAAATAGACACAAAAGGACAAAAGGAGAAAGCGGAGAAAGGGGGGAAAACCGACAAGGTGAAACACAGGCCTTAGTTACTATATATGCCTTATTAGCCAAGAGTCAGGTCCAAAAGTGTGTGAAAACATACCACTCCCTTTTTAATAAAAAAGAAAGAAAAAGAAATTCAAGGTAATTAAGAGAGAGAGGGAGAGCGTGCGAGTGAGCACTGAAATCTGCCTCACGCATAAGAGGCGGTTAGCAACTGCCCTCCCTCTGCACTGAGCTGTTACTTGGATACCAAATAAAAGCTGGAATTTGTGATGCTGAAGGTCACATGGCCACGAGGCTCTGGTTTCACAACAAACAGATGTTAAATGCTGCAGCTGACTAGGGGAGGGGAGGGGGAGGAAAAAGAGTGACTCCTTTATATCTATCACATTCACCTTGAGAGGAGGAAAAGCCTCTTCTCCATGCATATGATTTCCATTACAGAAAAGGAATTTGGGAGTTTTAACTTGGAATTTAAAAATCAAGCATAAAGATCATTATTGACAGGACTGGCATATTTCCCTGCAATTCCCTGCAATCTGCAATGCGGGACTTCTAAAACATCTTCTAAGGGGAAAAGGAGACTTGTGAAAAGGAAATGGGTAGCGTAGGCCCGGAATACATAAAAACAACACACAGAGAAGCACAGATGGGAATACTGGCACTGGTAAACCTTGAGTCAACTGTAAACACATCGCCCTCTAGGAAAATGCCTTTTTTCTCCGAAGGCAGGGAAAATATAAAGTGCTGCGTCACTGCCTGGAATCGCTTCTATCCTACGCAACCTGACGCACCCACCCACTCCCCCCCCCGCCTGCAAGCTGCCTCCAGTGCGAAGGATTTCATTACCAGCAGATCTGTTATTGGCTGCTACCACCGAAATCTTTTCTTAGTAGTAGGTGGTATGAAAGTGACTAAGGCAGAGGGGGATGCGTCAGTGAAACACTTTCATGGGTAAGTGCTTTCTGCCGCCCAGCCACCCACCCATCCATCCACACACACACACCGCCCATGTACACCCACTGCAGATGGGAGGGGCACATACCATCAAAATCGGTGTATACTGTATCCTTGAGGATGGCTCCAGACCCAAAATCTATCAGCTTCAGTTCTCCTGTCCTGAGATCTACCAGGAGATTCTCATCTTTGATGTCTCTGTGCACCACACCGCAGTTGTAGCAATGGCGCACTGCCTCCAGGACTTGTCGGAAAAAGCTCCGGGCTGTCTCTTCATCCAGGGCTCCCTTCTCGGTGATGAAGTCAAAGAGGTCTTTCACCAGGTCTGGCCTTTCCATGATAATCAAGTAGCCGTCAGGCCTCTCATACCAGTCCAGAAGCTTGATCACGCCTCGGAAGCCTGAACCTACTTTCTTCAGCAGGACTATTTCCAAGGGCACCATTACTCCTCCCTAAAAGGAGGGATGGGGAAGAATCGGGAGAGGTGGGGAGAGAGAGAGAGAAAGCAAAAGAGGACATGATGAAGCTTTTGGAATACCAAGTGGAAAGGGAGGGGAAGGAGAAGGGAAAATCCCCTTTCTTGGCCACTTGAAAACAAATCACATCTTCCTGCAAACAGAAACTCCAGCAGCAATGCAGGGGGCGGCTGGCAGGCTGGAGCGAAAGGGAAGTCCACAGGCACTCCGCTGGGTGTCTCTGTTGCTGCCGCAGTCAAAAGGGGAGGGCAGAGGGGGAAGAGGAGGAGGAGAAGAAACCCCGCCAAATTCCCCCCAAACGTAAACAATAACAGAGGCTGGAGAGGCAGCAGCAGCATGGAGGGCGGGGAAGGGGAACCCACACAAACAATGGATGGCCCTCCATTATTAGCGCAGGCAGAGGAAAGCATCAGGGAATGCCTAGCAGGGGAAAACATCCAAAAGACAACCAAGAGTGTGTGCTACCTGCTATTAGATACTTACAATTGTGCCCCACTCTGTCACTCTCTCCTTCACCACATGCTTCACGGCAACCTGGAAACAAGCAGAAAGAAGAGGAGACGTCAGGATGGAAGAGCTGGGAAACGGAGGGTGGGCTGGGATGCCAGGGAGGGAATTTGCCTGTTGCTTGGCAGAGTGGGTTTGTCCCCTCTGCTTCGCTCCAGAGTAGCACAGCAGGCATTTCCAGCCGCTGGAAAGGGTTCCGGTTGTGAAAGTACCAAGCCACACATTTGGGGTGGTGGAAGCGGGACGAGAAGCAACAAAGCCTCGTGGTCGGGGGCAGAGAAGGAAGGGGTGGTTAGCTCTAGAGCCTCCTCTTACCGGCAAGCCATCTGCGATCCTGTTCCCGGCATAGACCGTGCCAAATCCCCCGCTGCCTAGCACAGAGCCTACTTGATAGATTTTATCGAACGGCTCCTTCTCCACTTTCACTAGAGATGGAAAGAAACGGGGAGGAGGAGTGGGGGGAAGAAAGAAGAGAGATGTTGGAAGCGATCTATTGACGGAATGCTTGGTCGGCAGGAAGCAATCTCAGCCCAGCCAGGGAGAAACGAATAATTATTGGGGTTACCTTATCTCTCCCAAATATCAGAAGTAGACATACACACCGCCCCTCTTCCCAAGTTCAGCCCATTCATGCGGGGAGGGAAAATGAACGGATGCATTTGATGTGCAAAAGTCCCTTTCCTTCGCATCCTTGGGCCAAATACTGGAAACGCCACACCATTCCCCATGTCGTATTACCTTAATAGGAATCGCGCGCACACACGGGCAAGTACACGCACTCATACACAAACTGTCAAATCCTGGCTTTTTACAAGATCGCGGTATTTTTATTTTATTTTTTTTTTTTTAAGGGAGAAACAGAATCATCCCTGCTCCCGAGATCTTGGTCAGGAAAGCTGCCTCGGCTGCCACGCAGTACGCAAGACAGAAAACGCCTCTCCTCGTCACGCATTTCACACGCATCACACCAGACCACACGACACGCAAGATCACCAGCACCACCACCGAGGAGGGGGATGCCCTTCATTGTTTCGGTACCTGGCTGCAGGATCTTCACCGGCAAGTGGTCCATGCTGGTCGGGTTGCAAAGGTGAGCAAGCGAGCCAAACTTGGAGAGTAACATCTTCCAAAGCCACAAGAGGTGTGTGGGGGGAGCGGGGAGGAGATGGGAGCAAAAAAAATTCCTGTGATCGATACGATTGCCAAGTCCTTTTCAATTAAAGCAAAAACGCACGAAACAAAACACCGCGGATGGGCGCAATCGGCGAGAGCCGCCGGGGCGCAGGCTCCTTCCCGAGGCTGGGAAGCAGCTGTCCCTCTGGATCCTCTCGCCCCGGAGTTGAGCAATGGGCTGACGGTGATTTTTACTTCCACCCCCTTTTTTCAAAAGTAGACACTGACTTCCGGGAAAAAAGCAGCCAAAGGCAAAATCCAGATGGAAATTCGATTATGTCCTTGAAAAGAAAAATATACCACATGCAAGTCTGAAATCGAAAAAGGCGATGGGACGACGAAATTCGCGGCGCTTTCTGAGGCTCTGTGTATTTTTCTCTTGTACTGGAAAGGAAGCCGCCCCAGCAAGGATAAGAAGAGTAAAGGAGGAGAATGCTGAAACCTTGCGACGAATGTATAAAATCCACTCCTCTCTTGGAAACTGCCGGGAGACTCTGGATTCAGGCTAGCGCCGCAGTGAGGCGGGAGCCTCAGAGGAGGAGCAGCGGGAGCGGCGGCGGCGGCGGCGGCAGCAGCAGCAGCAGCGCAGCCCAGCCTTCGACTAGTCCTCTTGCTCCCTCTCTCTTCTGAGCTCGACAGCACCGAGGAGCTGCCTCTTAACTCTCAATATTTTGGTGGGGGAAGGTAAAAAAAAAAGGGAAAGAGCACAACACACACAAGGATATCCCTCCGCGGGGGAAGAGGTGGCTGTGTGAGGACACGTCCCTTTGCTTCCTCTGGCGCGCTCGCCTCCCTCCTGCCGCCCGGAATAGGGCCGGGCAGGACGCGGCGCGCGCTCTCGCGTGCTAGCTCAAAGGCGCGACTGCGGAACCGCGCCGCCTTCCAGTAAATACAAGGGATGGGATCTGCATGTGTGTGCGGGGGGGGGGGGGGGGAGCGCGCTTGGAACTATTTGCTTATAGTAAGAGACGCGCAAAGTTACTGTCTGAAAAAATCTCATCACCCCCTTACACACGGGGCGGGAGAAGAGGAGGTGCTCTCATTTGTATGCGTTTGGGCTCGGCGCCCAATGAGAGGGGCGGCTTTTCAAAACGAACGCCCGGCTCCAGCCAGTCAGGAGAAGGTGGATTCGTCTATGCCTCCGTGGAGCGGGGCTTACGAGCGCAGGGCGGGAATTCCTAGGCGCGCCGTTCTCCGCTATCCTGGCGGCATGGAGGGAAGAAGGAAGGTCACTCTCCGCGGAGTTGAGACACTGCGTCTGAGGCGGGGGGCGAGCGGGTGGGAGACACAGCCCGCCAGCCAGCCAGCCGCCGCCATGATCACCATATTGGGAAATGCGCACGGGGAGGGGCTTTTCTTTCTCCTCTGTAGTAGTTTGAAATTTCTAACTTCCCCCCCCCTCCCCGCAAGGACACACGCGCACGCACTCACACTCCACTCCCTCCCACCCCAAACCGCGCCATTTAGGAAGCTTCCTTCCTTCCACGGATTGCAAGCTTTGCTGCAGTCGTTCACTCCATCCTCACCCCCACCGTCCGCCCGCTCTTTCCCGGAATAATACCTCACCGACACAGACTCGCGCGGTCTTTAGGGGCATATCAAAATCACGCCAGAGGAAGGAAACTTTACACGGGGATACAGGCTCACTGTCTCCCTCCACCCAAGCCATCAAGGGTTCATCAGGATTGCGATACTGCTGGGAACACCCATGCACTCGCCAGCGAGTGAAACCTGTATGCATTTTTTAAAAAATGTTTGCAGGAATGAAACGTTTTGCGGCATCGTGGGAAGGACTTTTCCCCAGCAGTGGACCTTCCTCTCGTTAAGTTGACCAGTGGCTTTTTTTCATTATGATAGAGGATCTCTCCCCCCCCCCCCCCGCTTCCCACCACCACACCTTATTTTGACTTGTAGCATGTACCATCGCTACAGTTGCTTGAAACTCAGCCGGCTGTCCGAGGTTGCATACCACCAGTTTGCCGGAGAAGGAAGGATGCGGCTCTCGCTTTGACAGAAAGCGAGAGCGACTCGAAAGAGGCCCTTGTACATCGATCACAACCTTAATGCTCAAAGCCGGGTTTCTCATATTGCCAGAATCATTTTCGACGCTGCAAATCAGAGCTGCAGTTATATTGACGGAGCTTTCCCTCTTCCCGAAATTGATCTACAACAAAACCAAAGCGAGAAAAAAAAGCTGCCCTTCATAAAAACCCGAATATTTTGTCTGGCCAAGAAAATCCACCCAGCCACCCACCCACAAAGAGTCTCAGAGATAGCCAGGAACATGCACGCGCCGCAGTGTCTCACGTTTGAATTCTTGCTTCTACTTAAAAGGCGTCTCATTGACGTCTGGGCTGAGTTTGTGCACTTCCCCTCCATTTCCACAGAGGGCGCCAAGTTTATAAGAAATCCTGGAAAGCTGCATGGCTGCATGTTATTTAGAGCTGCCAAGACTCACACATTTGGAAAGCAGTTTATCCTTTCTGGATTATCATTATTGTTGTTGTTGTTATAAAGCACTTTAAAAATAAGAAGCACCTTGCTCTTGTGGAGAAGAATGTTGCAGCATGCTTCTGCAAGGTGCTTGGAGCACTGCCCAGACCAAATCAGAGCAACTTGGAGGGATCGCTCCTTGCAAAGAATTGAGGAGGGAGGCTTCAGGATTGTCCATGTATTTATTAAGGACTTGTGCATCTTTCCAGAATGCTTAAGCCTGCACTCCCATCGCAAGATCTGTACTGGATTAGATCTAAGGTCTATGTAGTTCAGTATTCTGTTGCCCCAGTGGACAACCAGATATCTCTGGGAAGTTCATATGCAGGACATGAGTGCAATAGCACTCTGCTATTCATGTTCGTTAGCAAATGGTTTTGAGGGCCATACCATCAGTTCCTCTGATACTGGAAATAATACATAGCCATCCTGACTTTATAACCATTGGTTGCCCTACCTCTCCATGAATTTTTCTAATCCCTGTTTAAACCCTCCCAATTTGGCAGCTGTCATTACACCATATGGAAATGAATTCCATCATTTTAGCTATGTGATATGTGAAGATATACTTTGGTCTGTCTCAGATCTCCTCCCATTTACCTTTACTGGAAAGCCCTGGGTTCTAGTATTATGAGAAAAAGAGGGGAACATCTTTTTCCCTGCTGCATTTAATTTTGGCTCTCATGCCCCTCTTTATTCATTTTTTCCCTAAGCTAAGAAGCTGCAAACATTGTAACTGCTTATGTGGAGTTGCTCTTTCTGATCATAAGTGATGCCCATTGCATGTTGAACCTAGGTAAGTGGATATGTTGAAGTTTGTGGCAAGGTCCTGCTATGCCTTACTGTACCACTGATACTCTCGAGTTTGACTAGAATTTCCTTCAGTGTAAATCTTCTCTTAGGTTGACTAGAATTTCCTTCAGTGTAAATCTTCTCTTAGGTTGACTAGAATTTCCTTCAGTGTAAATCTTCTCTTAGGTTGCCAAGTTGTCAACCCCAAATCATGCATACATGTACATATCAGTTTGGGGATATAATGAGGAGAGTTTCCTGCACTCTTTTTTTGGCACAGCACCCTGTCAGGCAAATAAGAGGGCAAACGTAAGTTATGTCTCACACAGGGGCTTGGTGCGAACATCATGGGTTCACGATGTCATGCATAGTTACCATGGTTTGCAGTTTTATACATCAGTATAGCAGATGAGTGACAGATGATCAGGCTCATGGTGATTAGGAAGGAGAAAGTGTGTTTTGGAAGGTGGGAACTGGCCAAGAAGGGTTTTGGGGGATGGAAAATATTTCTGAGTCCTTGGGTTGGCTTGGGAAAAGTTATTGGAAATCTTTTCATTTTGCACATGGAAGATCTCAGATAATTTACAAGTTGATCCTAAGAAGGTTCTGTGTAACTCACCCATCTCTGCCTTGCAGGCATTTTCTGATAGGTGGATAATGAGAAAGAAGAGATTTTACTTTAGCTTGGAAACATCTTCTGGGTGGGTGGCAAATACTCATGTTCAGTGAAACTGTCTCACTCACTTTTCACTGATATAACCTGAAAAATAGCTTTCTCTGGAATGTCACACAGTGACGGAGAAAACTACATCTATAGCAAGCATACATTTATACTGTGTCTACTGCACTTAATATGGTATATCTGCCTAGTATGTCTACCCAGGCTGTTGGTTAACTATCATTGGTATGCAACATGATGTCCTTGTTCTGGTCTTTTTCTTATTTGATTGTTGAACATTTGTACGCTTTCACAAATTTGTGGTATAACTCCAAAAAGGATAGCAGATCCAATAGCTCTCTCCCAGTTATCATAACACCTTTACCACGAGCTTGGCATCTCTTAGTAAAGAAGGGGGCATGATGTCACCATAGGATCAAATCGTTCATTCATCATGGATTTATGTTGTAAGCCGCCCAGAGATGCAAGTAATGGACGGCATACAAATTTTATAAATAAACAAAGCATGTATTTATTATTTATTTATATTATTTTATTATTTATTTATTAAAATATTTTTATGCCGCCCCATTCGCCGAAGCCTCGGGGCGGCTTACAACAATAAATTAAAATAATTATAATCATTAAATTAAAAAATATAAACATTAGAATAAAAATACAAAAATACAATATAAAATAAGCCACCCTCGCCAGATAAAATCCAATAACAACAGTTAAAATGCCGCTTAAATAAAAAGGTCTTCGCCAGAATCAGTCTGGTTCACCGAGCCAATATTTCCCTTGCGAGGCTTCCTGTCCCTTCGAGACCAAGTCTTGACTGTTTGTACCTGGTGTTGGGCGACTTAGACAGATTACCAGCCAGGCACAGGCTGAACCTGTGCCTGCCTGGTGTACCATGCATCCTCCTGCCCAGCAGACTCCCTGCCTGAGCTGACAGAGATCGTCTTGGACCTGGCAGATAAAGCTGGCGCTCCTGCTGATGTCCTGATCGACTTGTGGAATAGGGAGATGACCAGGGCAATCGACACAATCGCTCCTAAGCGTCCTCTCCTGCCTAGCAGAGCCCGCTTGGCACCATGGTATACACCTGAGCTGCGGGCGATGAAGCAGGCTGGGAGATGACTAGAGTGGAGGTGGAGGAAATCTTGGGACGAATCTGACTGAACACACTTACATGCACATTATCGTGCCTATGCAGTGGCGGTGAGGGCGGCGAAGAGGCAGTTCTTTCCGCTTCCATTGCTTCCTCACAGTGCCATTTGGTGGAGCTATTCTGAGTGGTGCGAGGCTACATTCTGGCCAGGAGAATACATTCTCCTGGCCAGGAGAAGGAAGTGGTTGCACCTTCGGCAGCCCACTGTGACGACTTTGCCCAGCACTTTAGGGAAAAAGTCACTCAGATTTGCCATGATCTGGACTCCACAGTTGATTTGAATCTAGTACAGGAGGTGTCCAGAGCGCCATCTGGTCCATCATTATTGGATGAGTTTCAGTTATTGCAGCCTGATGATGTGGACAAGGTGCTTGGAATGGTACGTCCCACCACCTGTCTCCTGGACCCTTGCCCCTCTTGGCTACTTAAAGAAGCCAGTTACGGTTTCTTTATTGGTCCCTAGGTCCAGGAGATTGTCATCGCCTCACTGAGGGAGGGCTGGGTCCCTACCCCCTTGAAGGAGGTGGTG